CGGAACAGTATTTTGTTGGAAAAATATTTTGTACGACACGTTAGATGTTGCTTTTATATATATTCGTTTAGTTCAAGTAGGTGACTAAACATCAATACTAGTAAAATATTAATATCGACCCCCCCCCCCTGGGTGTATTTTGAACAAGGTTTAGATTTCTACAACGATTCTGAAATTCAAGATTTGTATAGTTTTGTGGTCGGTGATCAAATTCGGCGTCTTGTGTCGGGACCATAGAAGCTGCTTCTCCGTCTTTTGGGGCTTCAAAAGTTCAATATTTGCGTTTTTCGGGGTTGTCGCCACGGACACTTACATTTTGGGCGCGGCGAGCCGTTTTGTAGTCGGATGTTATAGAGGACTTTGCGCCGTATCGGTGGGTACCGAGATCGAGGTTATCCGATTTTCGGTTCGAGAGTTATGATTTTTCGTGTGTTTTTTGTACTTAAAAAAATAACATAGTTACGTGTATTTTGGATTTTGGGTTTTCGTTTGATCACTACAAAATTCGAGATCCTGGTCTTTTGGTGTACGAGAATTCAAAAAAGTTCTATGGTCGAAGTACGTAAGACCATTATTTCGCCCGTAATCAAAGTAGCAAAAGTGAAGCTCGCGGTCATTTGGATGCGCCAACGAGTCTCTCTGAATGGCACTACTATAGAGACGCTTGTTCTTTAAATTTAAATCATTGAAATATATTCTAAATATTAACAATCATCTCAGAATGGTGACTTTTTGCTTTCATATGCAATTGTTGTATGGGGTGGAATGAACAAAATTAGTTTGCATAATTTTAAATTTATACTGTTATGATTATACACTTGTTATATACCTTCAGCAATTTATATATTTTTTCAGCAAACATAGGTATAGATAGGCTTAGGTTTCTAATTTATTGTGACTTGAAATTTAATATAATATATACTTACATTTCTACCTATATACCTAGGTACCTTATTATTTAGTTGAAAATTCTATGAGGGTAAATTAATTTGAAATGATTTGTTTTATCTGTAAATCTACGTTTTCATCGTTATCTACCTTGGGTCCATTTTAAAGTAATACATATATAGCAGTCTAGTACATATGAATGTACAGAAAATAAATCGATTGAACCAATTGCTGATGTATAAATTAATTTTGTAAATAAATGGTTAACAAATAATAATTTGTACACAAATGTTAATCAATTCACTATTCATAATGAGATTAATTTAGTTTCTACTTTCTACTCTTGGTGAATTTATCAAAATCTCGAAAGTGACCAATCTTTGTAATTAAAAAATTATAAAATGTCACTACTTTTATGACTAAGGATTGAAAATGTAAAACAAAGATTCTCATTAATAGTTCATACTGTAACCAAAAAATATAAAATCACAATTATTTTTTACAGACATTTTAAATTCAAATTCGGACGAAATGACATATTAAAACCAAGAATAACGATTTTAGTTATTTTGTTGTAATTTTAAAGTATTATTCGTTGGTATATGAAAATTTAAGATTATATTTGTCTTATTTTATATACACAATGATATTTTCAAATGTAACAACACGGGGCGAGCCGGTGAAGCCCCCATGCTCGACCTGAACCTTTTTAGGGGCATAGTAAAATGTGCGTATATATTTAAATATTTTATTATAATGTTTATATTATAATAATATATGTTCTTGGAGATCATGAAAACTTTGTTTGACGGGAAAGTATAAAAAAAATCAAAAATATTTTTTGTGTACCTACCTAACATAATGACTACATACATTTTATTAATCTAAAAAAATAAAAAAAAATTTTTTTAAAAACACTTTTCTAAAAAAACTATACAAAAAAATGATGAAAAATTTAAAAGGGTGTGGTGCTTCATACAAAACATTGAAAGCCGAGCTAAGTCTCACATACACTTCTATGTTCAATCCTGTTTAGAAGATAGTGACTGGGAAGTGGGAGTATATGTCAAGTGCAAGAGCACCACACACTTTTAAATTTTTCATTATTTTTTTGTATTGTTTTTTTAGAAAAGTGTTTTAAAAAAAAAATTTTTTATTTTTTCCTCGGAGATGACTTTGCACACCCGTCATCGCCGACCTGGAGGTCCGGGTCCCAAAATGACAACGGATTATTGTATTGTCATCCAAGACCAAGGTCTATACAAATTTTCAGAATTTTTCATCGTCAATAAGTGCCTCAAATCGAGCGCGAAAGATTTGTTTACAGACAAACAGACAAGCGAACTTAAGAAAAGAGTGTAATAAAAAAAAACATTATTCCTATATACAAATACAATAGTCAATAACTATAGTACTATAGACATTAATAGGTTAATATATCAACATGTACGTTGGTGTGTTAAAAAAAATTAGGGGCTCTGTCCAAATATTAGGGCGCTACATTTGTCTAGGCTCGACCAGAAATTTAAGTCTGCGCACGCCTATGATTATACGATATATTGACATATTGTCATACGTAAATATACTTAAAATTGATGTCCAATTAATTGTCTTTTCAGGAGTACTTTAAGAACTTGAAGAGGACTACCTACTATCGGTGTCCTATTATACCATTGGGTGAGGCTTTGCTTTGCTTTGCTTTGGGGGGATGGCTAAGCCGTGAAACCATACCAGGCTTTTGCCTCTACTAGTGGATGCGGATGTTTATAGGGAGGTAATTTTAAATTTGTTGGTCAACCCATGTCAAAGGGTAGGGTTTGATTCTGCACTTTGTGGTTGGTGGGGTGTGAGATTTCCCTAAGAGTCGGATGTGGGCATGAGTAGAGAAAGAGTTTTTGTAGAAAATCGATTTGGATTGACTATGAATAGAATTTTTGTTAGACTTGAAATTTGCTGATTTTAGAAGGACCGAATTTTTAAAGATAGTGGGCATACCCGTTATCGTGCGAATGCCGATGTTTTGAACAGATTCGATACGTCTCCAATGTGAGGGACCGATAAAAGGTGCCCAAGAGGGGCCAGCATAAGAAAGAATTGGAGAGACGTAGAGTTTTAGAATATTGAGTTTTGAAGATTTTGGGACAGGGCTAGAAGTCTAGAACGGTTGAGAATGGGGTAAAGAATTCCGCGAAGCGAGTGGCTTTTTTGGTGATGTCTTGAACGTGTTTGTCGAAGGTGAGTTTGCGCCCTATTGTAACGTCCAGGTATTTGGCATGACCATTGGGTGAGGGAGTCCTTAGTGGGATATTAATAGGATTCTATTTGACTCCTGCTTATGTGTTATTTGTTAGATTTTCTGTAGTCTAGAGAGGAACATCCGAACATGCATGATGGGACTAAAGAGGACTTCTTGCAGTATCCTTTTTATTGGTAATCGGAAAAAAAATCCCCAAAACAACTATTTAAAAAAGTACATAATTATAATAATATACCTAATTAGTATATTACAGTATATTAGTTAGTAAAAAAAAAAAAAAAAAATAATACAATATTAGTTAGTTAATTAATAATAAAATAAATGTATATAATTATAGTCAGATTCGGTTCAGTCGGTTCGTTTCCTTATATTGTTAGACACAGCTGTCAAAAAGTCTCCAATGCCTAATTTATCTTCGCTTTGTCTTATAACTAACTCTTTCAAGCGGATATTTATTGTTTGATTTTGATTCTTTTTATTACCTGTTTTGGAGTCCTGAACAGGACACTAATTTACTCTCCTGTAGACATCCAAATTCTAATTTCCGTGTAATCTATAACGTTTATTATTGAACCGCAAATCGAAATTCGCAATAACTAATGTAGAATTTTTAAAAATAATAACAATCTGTACGTTTATAAGTGTTTCAGAGTGAATTTTCTTACATTTGTTCCCTGACTAATATGCCTGCAGGCTGCAGTTGTAATATTAAATACCTAAATACCTAACAATATTATATTATAATAATTATTATGTTTGTTCTTTATTACCTATACTATTTTTATAGTTTTGTTAACAAATAATATTTAAGAAAAATAAAACTTTTTAGCGGGTAAATTGTCGTCGTTCAACGTGGTCACACTGCAGAACCAGCAGACTTTACTAGCGTCTTTGGAGTTTGGAGTCCGTTTATTACGTATGTTGTGTGTTTTCTTTTTCGTTCCTGTTCTATTTACAATATTATTATTATTATTATTATTATTGTATCGCATCCCTTAGCGGTTTTTACTTTTAACGTAATATATATTTTTTTTCGTATTCGTCTCGCCTCTTCGCCGTCCCTTCAACGTCCCTCCAGAGTCCTAACGGTAAATTCTCCGCCATTAGCGATTTCCGTTCGCGGTTTTTCGCTCGGTCGGTGCGCGTACCGAGCACCAAACCGAATTTTATTGTTGTAACTCACCAACACGTTTCACAAGTCGTCGCCGGAACTCGTCGTCTTCGCCTGTACGGATCGTAATTCTAGCTGTACTCCAGTGACGGGTGACCAGTGCAACGATGTGACCGACGTGATAACCCGTTGTCGTTTTCGCCGATCCGTGTTTACCCGCATCGCCTCGTCCGACGCTCACAGACAACAACCAGACGACCATACACTCGGAAATGCAATACTGCTGTTTGCGCGGGACCGGTCACATTCTGTAGGTAAGTACTTGGATGGTCGGTCGGTACCTTGGAACAGACATGCTTCGATCACGTTCCATTAGCTCCTCGATTCACACTTCTACGTAAGACTATCAATGTTTTTAAATTTATTTTACTCGACATGGTCGAAAAACGATCATCGTCGTTTGTCACTGACTTCGTTGTTCCACACGAATTCGCTTCGAATGAAAATATATAGGTACTTGGGTTAAAAATCTTCCGTTGGTGCAGTAATTTGTTTTTTTTTTATATATGATTGATTGCTATTGTTTTGACAGTAATTTGGAAGTTTATAGGGCAGTTAAAAGAAGGACATCTCACTGATATTTTGCCACGAGTACCTAGGAACTTGAATTTATGATTTGAAATGAATTCACTCAATTACAATTTGTTTTTGTTTTTCAGAAAAAAGTAATCAACTATCGCAAATATGCAAGAGGACATGACATATCCGGCTGGATGCCGTCCAGTTACAGATGATCTGGGTCCAGATGAACTTATTCGCCGATTAAAAGTATGTTAAATTAATAATTAGAGTACATTTAATTGTATTAAAATGTGTGAAATATTTTAGACTTTAGCTCATACTCTTCAAGCAATGGGTCAAGATGAAGGGATGTATCAACAATATATACCATTGACATTACATTTGGCCGAAGATTATTTTCTAAAACATGCTAGTAAAGATGTTCAGCTTTTAATAGCATGTTGCATCGCTGATGTACTCAGAGTTTATGCTCCTGAAGCTCCATACAAAGATCCAGAGCAAGTCAAAGTATGAAATTATTGGTTTAAACTAACATTTCATTTTTTTAATATCATATACTTTTGTTATAGGGTATATTTATGTTCCTAATTAAGCAACTTGCCGGTCTAAAAGATCCAAAGGATCCAGCCTTTAAACGTTATTTTTATCTTTTGGAAAATCTTGCTTATGTAAAGTCTTTTAATATGTGCTTTGAGCTTGAAGATTGTCAAGAAATATTTTGCAAATTATTTTCACTCATGTTTAAAATTGTCAAGTAAGTACAAATTCACATTTTTTTATATTTTACTACATAATATTATTATTTTATTTACTAGTGATGAACATTCAACTAAAGTGAAATCTTTTATGCTTGACATTTTATGTCCATTAATATGTGAATCTGATATGGTAGCCAGTGAACTTCTTGATATTATTTTAATAAACATCGTTGAACCTAATAAATCACAAAGAAAAAATGCATATTCATTGGCTAAAGAACTTATTCTTAAATGCTCAAACACTTTAGAGCCTTATATCCAATCGGTAAATACATAAATAAAATAATATTAAATATTATGATTAACATTTTAATTATTTACTTTTTGTTTTAGTTTTTTAATCATGTTTTAATATTGGGAAAGAATGAAAAAAATCTAGCTATAAGTACTAAAACTTATGATCTCATTTATGAATTGAACAGAATCAGCCCATCTGTATTGTTGGCAGTGCTCCCACAACTTGAATGCAAACTGAAGTCAACTGTTGAACAAGAACGTCATGGTACTGTGTCCCTTTTAGCTCGCATGTTTTCAGAAAGAGATTCAAATCTTGCTAGCCATCATAATATCTTATGGCAAGCATTTCTTAGCCGATTTAATGATATATCTGTTAGCATCCGCATTAAGTGTGTTCAGTATGCTATGCATTTACTTTTAAATCAGCCTGAACTTCGCCAAGATCTGACAGAAGCATTACGTTTAAGAAGTTCTGATAGTGACATGAATGTACGTCATGAAACAGTTATGGCTATTGTATCAACAGCTAAACATGACTTTGAACCAATTGCAGATAATGAAGAATTACTTTTAGTTGTTAAGCAAAGAATGTGTGATAAAAAGGTATTGTATTATCCATTTAATTTAAAACAATTATTTAGTTATAAACTATTTTGTATGTGTTTTAGTTTAAAATAAGAAAAGAAGCTACATCTGGGCTAGCATTTATATACAAAACATATTTAAATGATCCAGACATTCCTCAAGGCACTAAAAAAGCATTCACTTGGATCAAAGATAAAATTTTACATGGGTATTATAGAACTTGTGTAGAAGATAAATCATTGGTAGAACGACTAGTGAATACATCTTTAGTACCGTATCAACTACCACCTGAAGAGAGAATGAAGAGACTTTATCATTTGTATGGTACAATTGATGATTATGCTAAAAAAGCTTTTATGGAGATTCAAAAAACTCAACTTTTGTAAGTGACTATAATTGTATTTGTCTGTAAAACATATAATTTATTTGTTTGTTAAAAAAATATGTAGAATCCGTTCACATTTAAAAGAATTTCTTGATAATCACAAGAAAGAAGACAGTCCTCAAAAAGATAAAGAAATTCAGGCAAGTATAAAATTATTAACTCGGTATTTACCTGAATCAGTTAAAGCAGCTGAGTTTATTGGCAAATTTTCACAACACCTAATTAAAGATTCTACTCTATTAAGTTGTAAGTTGATTTTTATTAAATTGTTGCATTTAGTAATAAATTAAAATAATATGTTATACTTTTTAAAGGTATGGATACAATTGCCAAACAAAATTCTAGTACTGCAGAAATATCCGAAGCTACTAATTTAGTTTTAAGGAAGCTCGGTCAACCAGTAATGACAAATCTATATTACAACACTGTAAAAGCACTTTTAGAAAGAGCATCATCGGTGATGATAGACTCCCAAGCATTAAAGGTTAGTGTAAAATAAAATATGAGTTTATAGTTTTCAATACCATGAACATTCTTTTTATTAATGAGATATTTTCACACTACCTATTTGTTTAGTCTGTGACCTACGCATAACTTAAAAAACGCTCCTTCTACAGAACTAATCTTGTGTTAGCTTTTATATTCGAGTGAATTTACCAACTATCAAACTATCATTTTAAGAACATTACTTATGTCTGTACATTAGCCTTTTTACGATTTTTTAATTTTTATATATGTATGAGTATTAAAATTTAAAATGTTCATAAATGCAGTAAAATTTAAATATTATAAAATAAAAAAATGGCCAACATACAAATACATATTCTTAACTTAAAGTTTGTTTATTACAAACCTAACCTATGCTGCAGTGTGGATCAAAAAGAGCTAATAAATAGGGTGCTGACATCTTATTAATATATAATTGTTGAATTTATATTAAATACATGGAATCACAGTACTTAAAATAAATTCCTCTACATTCATTGTTGTTAATTTTACTTATTTGATAAGAATGTTATGTATTAAGAGGACACAAAAACTTTCTTTAATTTAAGAATATTATGTAATGCACATTTTATTGATATTTCAATTTCAAAGTAAGTTAGGAGGATTTTAAAATATTTATATTTTACAAAATTATAGCTCAATAATATATTTTTACCTTAAAGAGGACACCACAGCCTCATTTGTTGTTTTCATCTTACAAGTACGTAAGAAAACAAATCTATGATCAATAGTTCATCTTGGCTTTGATAGTTAAAAAATTTAAGTGAATCGACCTATTATAAAACTTAATGGTAAAAATCTGTGTTCGTATTTCAGTTTTATACAATACCTACCTAATTAAATCTTTAGCTAGTTATGAGAGTATAAAATAGTGCAATATATAAATGTTCTTAATTTGCTTGAAAACTTATGTGTCGTAATAAAACCAACATAAAAACACAGTTAATGTTCTTACCGTTAAGTTTCATAATAAGTTGATTTGCTCTAATTTTTAAATTAACAAAGCTAATCATGAACTGCTGAGCTGCAAATATGTTACGCACTTGTAAGATGGAGTTAACAATTGCAGATTTCTGGTGTGGCGTTTTCTTAAGGTTGATAATAGGTGAATTCACTCTTAATACTAATAATTAATTACTAAAGCTTACTTCACAAAATTGGTTCTACTGAATACAAATTTTACATGGTAAACATTTGTAAGACAAAATTTATATGTTTGGAGTCTTTAAATTTATATTTACCATGGAGGTACTAAACTTATTTAAGTTTTTAAATATTGTGTTATTATTTTCTAATGATTGTTGTATCAAATTAAATATGGCCGCAGTGCAATAAATTTAATACTATTTTGTTCATTAGGAATTGTTTAATCATGTGGAAAATTGCTTAAGTGGTGGAAATATGATAGAAGAACTTGGTTTACACCCAGAAACTGCAGCTTATAGAGGACTCGAGCTTCTTAATGTAAATTTATTTATTTTATCGTCTATATACTAATTATAATAATTATATTATCTAATGACTAGGTATTATCAAATACATTTGCTTGTCACTTTTATCATCCAGACATACTGGATAAACTGTTAGATTTATCACATCATGATGATGAGTACATTGCTCCTCAAGTTCTCACTATGTTGACTACAATTGGCAAATATAGTCCACTTGGTAATTTTTTCTTTTACAACATAATATGCTGTATAATTTATTATATAAATTATCAAATAAAATAATTCTAATGTATATATTACAGGTGATTCGTACCCAGAATTCACAGAAAAGTTAATACCCATATGTAAAAAATTGGCAGTGAGCGGTACTCCGAAACAAGCTAAAGGAGCAATACGTTGTTTATATGTCAATGTATTTAAATCTAAAAATGATATTTTTGATGATATTGTTGAGGTAACATAAATATTATGATTTTAAATGTTCAATTAATTAATACCATTTTTGTTTGATAAATGTAGAAAACTAAAATTAATTTAGAACCAGATTCAAAACATTATGAAACAGCAATAGTAGCTCTTGGGCATTTAGCTATCAATGTGGCTGAAAAATATAATGTCCATTTCAAGAATATGATTTCTCGAAAGGTAAGTAATTTATTACTAATTTCTGTACATTACAAAGTTAAATTGTGATAGTGAAAATATGAAAATAATTGTTTTATGATTATATTTATTATTTTGAAACTGGTTCTTAACCTGTGTGCTGAAAAATTGTTTAAAATATAAAGCATCCATCTGCATTATTATGTGTAGGATGCTCTGAGATTTTTATAAAACCGAATGTTGCTGCAAAAAAAAAAAAAAAACCCACTCATTTAAAACTGTTAGATTATAGTAATATTATTAAAAAGTAAAAGCTATAAAAGGTTGATAATCTTATAGTATAACATATAAAATGCTTACAGTATTGATTAATGATGACAAGCCATCCTTGCAAGCTTTTTCTTTACTGTGTAAGGAAAATTACTTTCAATTTGGGACCTCTTAAATAAAACTTGTTTTCTAGGAGGTCAACATCAATTAAAAAAAATAAAATAATTCTTTAAACTAAAGCTTAAAAATGCTGAAACTATGTGAATAGCATAATAAGGTGGCTACTAGGAGTGTAAAATATATTATTTTAAGTATAATTTTAACATGAATTGTTTTATAAACATGTTTCTAAGGCTGTTGTTTGGTCTAATCTAAGTTAATTTTATGTCTATTGATAACTGTGTAAAGAAGTTTTAATATTTATGTTCATAAAGTGCATGCTTGGTGTATAATGTACATCACACATTTTTTTTTTACCAAATTACAATATTTTGCTCTATACATGATTGATAAACCAAAAAAAAATAATGCAATAAAAAGTTATTGACAAAACATATTTTACAATATGTGTATATTTATTGATTAATTTTGTGTTTGAAGTCTGTTTTTCTAGAAAAAAAAATTGTTTCATCATAAAACTTTGAAAAAGGTGACTGATAGCAAATTAGATTTATACTCAATTCAAAATAAGAATGGTAGTCTGTAGTGGCGATAAGCTTTCATCTGCAAATATTGTCAGATGCTCCCTTGTGCAATGCCAGTGCTTTGGAACAAAGTTATGCCTCTGCTCACAAATTGGCTGCCAACTATTGTTATTATTTTAAGTAGAGTATAATTGGTACTAATGGGAGGACGGGAGGTAAAAATTAAAAATTCTCAGTACTTTAAAAAAAAAAAAAAAATTAGAACATGTTTAAATGTCAATGTCACTTTTATAAAAAATGTTTACTAACTAATGCAAGTACTATTGAATGTAAAACATTATTGAATGTAATAGTATTTTCAAGGGAATTTCATTGTAGTTTGGGATAAATAAAAGATAGCGATGTTTGACATATTGAGAATCTACTGTTATATGTATTGTAAGACAAAACCTGGTATCAGCAACTATTTACTTTTATAGTCTCATGTGAAATAGACGTCGACATCAGTTTTTTGAAGACATATTGACATATAGTCAATGTGCTAATAATGAATATTAACTTTAAATATGTTTTGTGTTTTATTTATTTTAGATTGTTAAGGAATTATTAGTTAAAGTGTCTCTAAAAAGTGAACTTTATAATGCTGATGCTAATTGGTGCTCCGAAGACATTTTACCAAAAGGCACAAAGTGTAGAGTAAGCTATAACTTAAAGTTTCAATATAAAAATTGAATGCTCATTTGTATATTGTATTTTAAGGCTGAAGGTATGAAGGCTATGGCAAGGTGGCTTATTGGCTTAAAGAATGATAAAGTATCAGCTCAAAAAACATTTAGAATGTTTAATGCTTTTTTGTCACAAAAAGGCGACCTTACACAATCTGGAATCTTATCAAAATCTGAATTAGCTTGGTTACGACTGCAAGCAGGCTGTTCTATGTTAAAGATTTGTGAACAAAAAGGTGTAGGAGATCAATATACAGCTGAACAGTTCTTTTTATTATCAAGACTTATGATGGTATATTTGATTTTGGCATTTTACTTTTCTATGTCAACACATCTAATAAATTAAATGAATTTCAGGATGAAGTGTTAGAAGTGCGAGAAATTTTTGCCGCAAAACTCCATAAAGGTCTAGGGAGAGGTTTACCCTTCAAATGTCTCCCATTAGATTTTATGGGAATGTACGCTTTGGCTGGACTTGAAGCAGATGAACGATTGAGGAGTAAAATCTATGACTACGTTTTAAAAGATATAAACAGAAGACGGGAGTATGCCAGAAATTTAACTCAAGGATCTGCCACATGTATTTTGATTTATTCTTGTGGTTTTTTATGCCTTTCAAAGCTCATTATTTAATGTTTTAATTTTTTATAGGTTCAATTGAAAAAGCAATGGCACAATTACCACATATTTTACCTGATTACATGTTGCTGTTTGCTATTTCAATTTTAACACACTCTCCAGTGTATAAAGATAATAGAGATGAAGAAAGTCTGACATTAATGCAACAGTGCCTCTGGTTTATTCTTGAACCATTAATCACCAAAAATGATTCTTATAATTTTGGATTTTACAAAGAGATGTTGGAGCGAGTAAAAAATTATGTTGACGCTGTAGAACCAACTAATGAGGCTATTAATGCGGTAATTATAGAAATTATGTATTATTCTATTTGTTACTTTATAGAAAAATATGTCTGAAACACATGTATGACATTGTCATCAACAATGTTTCTGATTTCCCATCATAATCGGTAACATAAATATTTGTCTATGACAATATCAGAAACATAATATTTTTCTTGGTCTGGACTGGGCTAAATGTACTTATGAATATTGAAAACTTAAGCTATGAATTATCATAACATCTCAATATATTGTAATTTTGTTATAAAAAAATAACTAATATTTGTAATATTAAATTGGTTAAGGGATCTGGTGCCAGCTTTTTTTTAATTTTCTAGAATTCCAATTCTATAAAATTTTATATTTTAGTTGTCACCTTGATTATAATACTTTTCCACTAATCTACTACTCAATACCTATTTAGGGGGAAAAGGTTTATAGAGTGTATTATATTGAAAAAAATGACTTCACAGAAATAATTCTCAGGCCTTGTATAATTGTCAGATTATGATTACTTTTTTTTTATCTGAAAGAAGAAAACTTCCTATAGGCTCCATAAAACTCTGATTTTTTTGATTTTATTTCAAATAATGGTATAATATAGTTTGTAAAAAAAACCCTTAATATTGTATTATATTTTAGAAATCATAAAGTTTGAGATTAAAATATTGAAAAATAGAGTTTGATGCTCCCTCTATTAGCAAAAATTATCGAATTCTGTCGATTTACAAGCAGGATCATTATTCCCATAGAGCTTAATTTTGTGTACAAAATTACATTGGCACCATGTTCCATAATGGTTAGTTAGTATAAGTACGTTGTAAAGTTCTAATTAAATATTGTGAAGCCAATACATTTTTTACTCAAAATCTAAATCATATATATATATATATATATATATATATATATATATATATATATAAGTTTTTTACTCCCCTCGGAAATTAATAGATATTTTTTTTCAATTATTTTAAGTAATATCTTGTTACAGAACAGTAATTTTACCGTTTAAAATGTTTATTAAATTTGTTTTAGAAAATGTGGGCTCTTTGTGATTTGGCAATGAGCGTACTAGTAGTTCATACTAGTACATTTGAAACATCTCCTTTTTCTGAAATTAGAATTTCAGCAATGTTTTTCAAGAGGCACGATGATTCCATGTTTGTGAACGTAAAAGTTTATTTGCCAGAAAAATTCCAAATCAAAGTAAGTTAATGTTATGAAAAGATGAATTTGATAATAACAATTTTTTTTTAATTTTAGCAAGTGAACAATAATGGGAAAAAAACAGGACTTTCAGCTGCCTTAAAATCCACTAAGATCCGAACTCAGAAACATAATATTCAAACCAGTCGAGCTAATGAATCTAAAGTAGTAAGTGTTTTTATTTTTATTTTACTTAATCATATTTATTTTAATTTTAAGTGAAGATTAATGATTATAAATAAAGATATGGACTTGGCTCGTTTCCAACCAATAGTCTTTATCTATACTAATATATAAAGAGACAGTATTTATTTTGTAAATCCATGATCAACTCTAAAACTTTAATTTCAAATATTATTTTCACCATTATTTAAAAAATCTCATGGAGAAGGTTATATAATGCATCTAAGACTAACATGCCCATAAAAACTTAGTGTTGAATAGTAATACTGGTTCTCTTCCTACCGTGACATAAAACAACTATCAAACACTTGCCAAATCATAAAGTTGCATTTATTAAGAACGCTCACTATCAAGAACCTCAGCACTACCACCATGCCAAAAAGAAACATTAGAATTTAAAAGATAATTTTAATAAGAATACTAAATAATTTTGTATGAAACTGACTAATGATGACAAAACCATCCTTGCGAGCTTATTTCTTACCTTGTAAGAAAAATGACTTGAAATTTGGGACCTCTTATGGACTGTTGTTTCTTAGGAGGTCTGAAGTCAATATCAAAAACCAATTTTAAGATTTATGGTTCTATTGATAATAAAGTGTTACATTATCAGCCAGGAATTTATTACATTATGATCCTCCTCTCACCACAACTCCACTGCAATGCCAAGGTGGATACCGCAAAAGGAAATATTAGAATATAATTTTAACTAGAATACTAAATAATTTTGTATAAAACTGACTAATGATGACAAAACCATCCTTGCGAGCTTATTTCTTACCTTGTAAGAAAAATGACTTGAAATTTGGGACCTCTTATGGACTGTTGTTTCTTAGGAGGTCTGAAGTCAATATCAAAAACCAATTTTAAGATTTATGGATCTATTGATAATAAAGTGTTACAGTATCAGCCAGGAATTTATTACATTATGATCCTCCTCCCACCACAACTTCACTACAATGCCAAGGTGGATACCGCAAAAGAAAATATTAGAAGATAATTTTAACTAGAATATTAAATAATTTTGTATAAAACTGACTAATGATGACAAAACCATCCTTGCGAGCTTATTTCTTACCTTGTAAGAAAAATGACTTGAAATTTGGGACCTCTTATAGACTGTTGTTTCTTAGGAGGTCTGAAGTCAATATTTAAAACACATTTTAAGATTTATAATAAAGTGTTACAGTATCAGTTAGGCATATAATAGGCCTTGGCCTTTTCCTCTGAGGCCTTATTATTTTCTTTATGTTTTATCTTTGTATTTTCAAAGAATATACAAATTACTTTATTATTTGCTAAATTTCTTTGGGCTCGTGACCTTACTAATAATGATGAATGTAAATTATATTATTATGTTGGGTTTCTTCAATAAACTTTTAATGACTAATTTTTAATACTTTACCTTTTTGCTTTTTCTACAGAATAATGACACTCAAGATTCTACCATGTTAGACATGTCTGTTGAAGTAAGTGTAAATTTAATTTTCGAGCTCTACATTTATTATTTTGACGATTTTGATGTTTTTACAGAGAGAAGAAGATGAGGATGTAATTGAACCTAAACGCAGGAGAACCACTCGTAACAATAATTTTAGTTGAAGAACTTTGTGTGTGGACTAAGTTAGTGTTCAAGCTAAACTGTATATTTTAATTGTTATATACCTACTAAAAACTGTTAATACTTATTTATTTTGTTAATATTTTCGATTTTATTTTTTTAAATTTAAAATCTCAACATCAATTACTATGTAAGTAATTTATTCTTAAGTGACATTTTGGTATCAGTCTTGTATGCAAAACAAAAATATTACATGTTTTATATATATAAATAATTTTTTTCATCTTGAAATATGTCTTATATTCTGATCTGTATTCCTCTACTTGTTTTAAATACAAACCAATTTTTTAAATAAAAACAGAAAGGGATACTTAAATAGAAGTATTTTAAATAAGAAATATGAATAGGTATAAAATAAATAATACCCAAAATTGATATGATGTTGTGATGTTACAAAATATTACATTTATAAAAATTTATCTTGCTTACTGAAATGTAAAATAAGGAATTTAGAGCACTGTTCATTAATAATTAAATTGATTCTAATCATATTTTTGTAAAAGTTTTAAGTTAAATGTTAGATAAAAATACCTTTTTATTTTTTAATTATTACATTTATAATTAGTTTAGTTTAAGAGTTTAATACTGAATAAGCTATAAGTAAACTTATGTTTAAAATAAATTATTTTCTTAAAATAAAAAGTATTTTTTATTGAATTTTTGATTAGAATTTTATTGTTTTAATATATTTTTATCACAATATTCAAATATTATATTGTATAATCAATAGAAAAAAAATGTGGGTAACTGCTGTATATTAGGTTTTGGTCACTGTAATGGATGGGTTAAATTTGAATTAAATCATTGTGCACAATAAACGATTCTGAGCGAAGGCAGGTCTATCAACCTTTATTACGAAGTATATTTTATATTATTATTGCTATTGAAGTATTTTATTTAATATTTTATTTCAATTACTATATATACAGTAAGTAGAAATAATTTTTACGAAAACATTGCTTTTTAAAATGTCAGTGTGTATTTAATATATGGTATTGGTTTGTTATGGCCCCGCCTGATTGAGTGAAAACTGTTTAGCCCCACCCACTCATGTTTTTTATCTCTCCGATACATAGTGGTCGGAATCTGAAACTCTATTTTAGCGGCTCAAAAGTCCCATTTCAAAATAAATTAAAAAAAATATATATATCAAATCTGTTATCATAATATTATGTTCCTTAAGTCAAATATAAAATTTCATAATCATACTCTATTTATAACTTGTTTATAAAGTTAGAGATATCAACCTGGAAATTTTATGTCTTATGTCGTTTATTTCCCGTTATTTTTAATGAGACTATATTTTCTTTTATGAGGGAAACGCAATGTTTTTTTGAATTTTAAATTCTGAGTGGTGCATTGATTTTACAATGATGTATTTCTTTTTCTGTCTTGTATTCTAAAACAAATAGACTATTGAAATGTTCACCAAATTTTTATACTAGCATTTTACATACATCATACAATTTTCAAAAAGTGTTGACTCTTTGTGAGCTATTTATAGCCATGAGAACATTTTGTAAATTATTTTTCAGTTGAAAATTCATAAAAGTTTGTTTTTTCATAGTTTACATAAGACATTTTAATTGAAGGTTCCCAACAAGTTTTACTACCTCTATCAAAAAGAAAAGTTCACCAGAAAGTTATGCTGTTTATAAACACGAGATGTTTTCGGTTTATTAAATATTTTTTAACTATTAAATCTGATTATTTATACTAGTATTCTTGACTGACACAACGTCTCCGCTCAGATTCATTTTTTGTATACAATGCTTTATCATTGAATTCAAATAGAACACATCCATTACAGCGACATGGTTGACAACTACTGAACAGCAGAGCCCCCCTAATTTTCATTTTAACCCCTCCCCCTGTAATATTTCCTATACTCCCATCACTGTAGCTAAATTTACAAATTTTCATTTAAAATATCATTTTATTTTTTATTAAAATGTGTAGTTTTTACTACATACTACATAGAAATTGTCAATAACTTAAAACCTATAATAGTCTTCACCCAGAATAATAGACTCAGGATTTAATTGTTGTAACATTTATGTATACGATTAACTACCACTGTTGTAACGAGTGACCGGTCAACGATAGGGGTCTTTTACTAAAAACTGAATTAGATTTTGTTAAAACATAATTTATTATCGTCCTTTGATCTTCATAAGTATAACGGTTGTCTGATGGTTTGTATTCTGGTCAACGTCGTTATTATTATTATATCATATTATGTTTTCCTATGTTTTTAGGCTTAAATAAATTTAACTAAATTAAAATCAGAAATGTTGGTTGATACTTGATAATCAATTATTAATCACCTAATAGATAATAGACGTAGTAAATTTGAATTCAATGAAAAATAATTGCATAGTATGAAATAGCAAATAATCCGATCGGATAGGAACGGATCTTCATTTTAGACATTGGGTACAATGTTTAAATTTTCTAATGACTTGTTGCTTTTAATAACTCTGATCTTAATACTTTAGGTATTGATAATCTGTAACCCCACATTAATGTTGTGAATTTTTTACAGTTTTAAAGTTTTAACAGTTTACAACTCAAATTCTCCATTCTGACCAATCGCTAGCTTTTTCTTTAGGTTCCTTTGAGGTTTTAACTCTTGCATCACATTTAATTTGTCCTATATAAGAGTTACGTGGACGTCCTGCAGTTTTCTTTCCTTCTATCATACCCTCTAATATTATATTACGTAACTCTTCTGGATTAAATCAAAATATTAAAAATTAAAATATCGTAAAAATCCAACGAGAGAACACAGATAATGTTTAAACCCCAAGTTTGGTAATAGGTCAAAATTCACTGTAATATGTATTAAAGCTAACCAGTAATCACACAAAATGTGAACTACTGGACATACATTTTGGAATGTTATGCATTAGTAAGACAAACACGACACTTGCGGGTACTATGTCCCCGCACTATTTGTTTTCTCTCTCTCACTCAACAGTGAATTTGTGTTGAGTGGAACCTACAATGTATTATCTTTAGTATTAGAGGCACAGACTTATAAACTAAGTTAGTTTGTAGGTCTATGATTAGTGGGAATCGACATATTTTCACATTTACATTGAGAACATTGTTTATAATTGTACGTTGGTCTTTTTACGATATTTCAATTTTAAACCATGATTAGAACATTTTTAAAATGTAACATTTTGCATGGAAACTTAAATACCTTAAAAGGGCCAATGTTCATTCTAACACTAAAGCTAATGGTACAAGGTTGGTTCTGATGAATGCAAATTTGGAATGTTGTGTGTGGGGTCAGAGAGAGAAAACAAATATTGTGTTGACATACTCACAATAAATTAAAAATAATAATAATAAAACTAATTTTAGAAATGTACTTAACTTTTTTATTCTAAATAACCATAAATGTAAAATATTGATATCCGTGCCTTGGTTTTGTGAATACCGTTGTGTATTCTAACACACGCTATAAAATATTAAAATATAATATTTAGGCAAAATAAATAAATATTGGAATTTGTACATATTATTTTATTTCATAGAGAAATTAATATGTATTGGTAACATTTGCATAGAATGTGTATATAATAATAAATATGTAACAGTAATAAAATATTTTTGTATATGTTCCCAACGCTGTATTTATAAATTTTTTTTCGGATTGTCACTAGTCGTCAATGAGGAATGGGCTGTCCAACACACCGTCACCAGCGTGCACACCACCCTCATTGCACGATGTCAGTTTCGTGCGCATCATATGTCCCACTTGTTCGTTGATCAATATCTCGTCACCGTCACTGAAACATTTGTTAGCAAATAAACAACAACAACAAAAGTACTACTAGAGCCAGAGTATAGCACGTGAGCTGTAACAATAGCATGTTAGCTCTCCCCAAAAAAAATGATTTGTGTATGACGATGGTACATTTTTATATTATTATTTTATGTAAATATAGTAACAAAAACTAAATCACAACAGTAAACCCCAAATTATTGTATTATGATTTATGACATTTATTTGAATCAGCTGTACAAATAGTATTGTTGGCTGTTGTTTACACATTGTTTTGACTTCTTATGACATTTTGATTTATAATTTGGTACATTTCATATTGAATCAAAAATATACGATACGGAATTATTATAATTAATATTATGTATTAGTTATTACTATTAAACACGATAATTAGATTTATCAATATTAACATTAATTTACGGCCGCCGGCAGTCATGTGGCGTGGTAGTAATGATCAACTGTGGCCGCCTGCAGTCTCAAAAGCATAACATTTGAAATTTTCAATTGACTGCCGACTACCGAATGGCAGTCAGCGTATTAAATAGAGTTTAAGTTTTACTTTAAATAAACACAATTGATTCAAACATTATTTCTTTACAATAATTGTAAAATTAATGTATATTAGTATCTATTTAATGTTCATTACTTTTAATTTCAAAATTAAATTGACAGGAATGGTAAATATTAACATTCGACTTGTTTGATTGTGTGTACCTAGTGATTAGTATTTTACATATTGTTACATACTGTGCAAGTGTATTTAGTAGGTAATACGTTTATATTTTGTTTTGCTAACAATTTTAAACTAGCTTATTGCTAATGTCCCCCTTTTCTATACTATAAATAAGTTATATATAATGTAGAACATAAGAAGGTACACACCATAATATGGTACCAAAGATGCCCATCTCAGAAACAACTTCGCATAGAGCAGAGTTTTTCTCAAAATCCTGATTCGGTCTAATTAGGTAATTTTGTTGGACAGGCGGATTTATTTTGTCCATCAGAATCCAAGCTGATCGTTCCTTGTTTTCCATGCAGCTCATGAGTTTCTATAAAATATACACAAAACATATAAATAACACAAGAATTTAAGTATTTATCAATCATAAAACATTACTTTTCTGATATCCTCTCCGTACAAATTATTGCCCCCGCCTTCTCTTTGCGGTTTCAACACAAACCGATCCGGAGCATCTAAGGCCATTTTAACAGCTTTGTCGCCATTTTCGTCCTAAAAAAATGGTATAAAATTAATGCATCCACTTAACTGTACAGATGGCAATCATCTCTCACCAAGTCTAGGGCGTACAATCCCGTGAACACTTTTCGGATTTCTGCAGCTTTTTTAGGGTCTTTCACAAAACGTTCTAGTGTTCCTGGAGTCGCCAAAGCTTGTTGTACCTGAAATTAAAATGATATAAGACGCGACATCATAATATTATATGCTGAAACTAATGGCGGCGTTTCGAGCTATAATTCTATTAATATTATATTCACACAACAAATAAAAGCCAACTTTCATATTTGTACATGTTTGTAATTTAAATCATCCTATAATTCTACGAGCGTCTCAAGCCAGCATGTCATTTTGGCATCCGGTGCGCGCGCATCACGTCGGCCTCTGGCATTGTTATCATATTATTTATTTCATGTTATACTTGGGGAGTACTACTTTTGTTCCACAAAACAATTTTCTTAACCCTGTGACCCACTTGGGGAGGTGTTGCACAGCAAGTCGGGGGATATTTTCGATTTGCGGAGCGGAGCGACGGCGCCGAGGAGCGTAGCGACGAGTGCCGCTAGCACCGCATCACTGTACGATGTTTTTTTCAAATTGGTGGCTCGGTGCAACAAAAATGCAATTTACTCAACCCTGTGACCCACTTGGGGAGGTGTTGCACAGCAAGTTGGGGGATATTTTCGATTTGCGGAGCGGTTAGGAACACTTGGAACAAACGTTTTTTGGATAAAAATAAGCTCAATGAAATAGCTAAATGAAAAATAAATTAAGTGTTCATTAACAGGTACATGATGGTTAATTCACTGAAAAAATGTGTTCATTTACTAGGAAAACTGGTTTTTATAAACAAATAATTAATTAAAATTCATGCTTAAGTTAAATTTACTTTACATAATTTAAATTTTTATTTTACAGACATTCTTTAGTAGAAACTTCATATAGCAAGTAAGGCCCTAACACTAAATTATAAGTATATATAAACCATGTAATGTTAAAAACACCTTAAGCGTTAATTTACTGGTGCTGTTGCCCTAATCTGAATAAAAAAAAATGAGGTTTCTGAATTCTTCCTAAATTCTAACACATAATTGTTTTTTATAACTAAATTTCTTACTGTGTATATGATATTGTCAATCAAATAAATAGTGAATAAAATACAAATGAATGAATGCATGTAAAACAATTCTAAACTTATTAAACTACCTATTTAGATTAGTGTGATAACATGAAATAAATAATATGATAACAATGCCAGAGGCCGACATGATGCGCGCGCACCGGATGCCAAAATGACATGCTGGCGTGAGACGCTCGTATAATTCTAGATCCGGCGACTATAACGTGTTTAAAACCCTGGAATTCACACTTAATCAACGTACTTTTTTAGTTCCTGCCAAATGATATTGAATATTCGGGCATTTGATAGCTGTCGAACGTTCAATCATCAAGCGTGCAGACCATTCAGCCTCGCCAAAATAATGATCAGGTGAATAACCAGCCCTATAGTACACAACAGCAACCTTTTTCCCTTGTCTAAAAATTAAATTTTTATTATATTATGTTAACCATAGACAGTTTAATTAACTGGTTCATGTATTATTTTTATCTATTTACACTAATAGGCCTTTGGAATCTGATAACGTCGCTTCATTGGACATCTGTGTCAGGGTCTTGACGATGACTTTGACTTCTGGTTTTTGACGAGCAATTTCAAACTGGTGAAAACGTTGGTCGCATATATTCATAGATTGATTTTCAATAATCACCAAGATTACTGAACTAAAACAATTTAAAACCGTATAATGTATAATAACTATATTATTATTATAATTTTCCATCTGCCTTGCCCAATTAGTGTATAGGTGTAAAAAAAAATTCTAATCGGTTTCAGTTTGGGACCAAAACATATTTTAACTTTCAGATAAATAAAATTATATCTAACAATTTACATACTCTTTTTCGTTGAACAGTTCCCAAGCTTTAATGATCGCTGAACTCAGACCTTGTAATGCATTATTCTCAGGTAACTAAAAATCAAAAATTTGATTAAAAAACGAGTAACTGATGGGAGTGACACAGTGCAATTGTATTAGTGTATCAGGAAGAAGACTGACAGAATTAAATATATCAGCACAGTGGCGGCTCCAGGGACAGGCGCAGGAGGCTCGCGAATCACTACCCTTTTATTAAAAAAAAAATGTTCCCATAAAATATTTATGTAAGAGCATAAGAAGCTGTTATTACTTAAGTAAGAGGTATGAGTCGGTGGGAGAAGTATGTGTGGCGTGTGATCATTTAAATGTTTATTTATTCCATGACATTAAATATCTATAAATTGAAATAGTATAATAACTAGTAGTTGGTATCTATATGTATACAAATCTTAAATATTATTATTTTAAACTTTTATTAATTTTATTTGAATGTAAGTTAGAACAAAACAATAAGCAATAATAATTTTTTTAATTTTTCTTAAAAAATAGAAATGTAGTAAAGATTAACTTATGAAAAATGATAAATTGGTAACAATTTTTTTTTAATTTATAGTAAGTAAGTAGTAGGTATTTACTATTTAGTATTATAGTAGTGTAAAGTATATTAATCCTTAAACTAGATATTACTTAAGTAAAGTATATACTTACCTATATTGTTATTAGTTATTAATTATTATATTTCTATAAATAAATTAAACCTTAACAGTTAAACATATTTGGAAAAATACTTTTCATTTTACACAAATAAAATTTAAATTTAAACGGAAAATTTGACAAAAAATTAAAACCAATATAAATGTCCACAAAAAGTGGTGTCCCCTCCCCCTTGGAGAATTCCTAGTTCCGCCCTTGCATCTGAACAAGTATTTTAAAATAATACTTACCACACTCAATTTGTCCAACAAACCCAACTGTTGAAATACAAATCTGAAAAAGAAAAAAATGATTTTCACATTGTCGACGGTATAATCGTGTAATGTGCGAGGTATTTTGGGTATATATAAAGTATTAAATACGATAATTACGATATTGTTCATCACGGTATAGATAATTTATCGATCCAACATTACTACATTAGACCTCTGTCTTCGATCAAGTTTCCAATTTTTGGCGGTTAGAAGAGAGAAAAAAAAAGTATCTAAGCGGCGGTAATATATAATATAATATATTATTTGGGTAGTTATCTATCTCAAATAGAAGCGCGTATTTATATATGTTTAGTAATAATATAATTATAAAATAGGTGTAAAGGTGCTAAATTATAAGTACACGTAGTATATTATTAAATAAAATTATTATCTACACTTATAACATAAAGGAATGAAAACATATAATATACATAAGGCTGGTTGGATGCAGAATATATTGTTACAGGGCCGTTTTAAGTCACTATAGAGTATAAACCCAACGATATTTTTTGCAGTTGCAGTGGCTGATGATTGTTATGTACCTGTGAGTTGGGGCTGAAGATGTCAAACCGGCAAAGCTCGAAGCGATCGTGTTCATTTCCACTTGTTTCACGGATGTGGAATTGCAAACGTCCAACAAGTAGTCGGATCTCAATAATCCCAGACACCGCGACTGTAAAGCACCACACATCAACACAAATACACAATGTGTGTCTTTCTACAGAAGAGTCGTCTAAACCCCGAGCAAAGATTCACACAAATTATGTTTTATGTTTTTTTATTTACCAACATCCATCCAACAAGCATTTTTTTTTTTTAAAAGTACCTTTTAAAGGTTTTAAAGAAGTAACTATAACTATGCATAAGTATGTAAAAACTATATACGAGTGTATGCAAATGATAGACAATGGTATTAGATAAGAGAAAGGTAGCGAAACAGTATTGACACCGATATATAATTCTATTATAAATATTTATAATATTATGTATTATTTGGACGTTTTCCACAACATCGCTGTTTCGGAAAAGAACGGATTTTTTATAATACATACGCCAAAAATACAAATATGATACTAGCAGAACTGACGGTACCTAATTGTAAGTGAGAAGTAACAACATTTGTCACCACAACTTTTAATGTTGTAGCAAAATAGTGTAAAATATATATAAATAATATATTTTTTAAAATACTCTTTAATCATGATCGATAGGAATTTGAATGTTAACGAATATTGGAGAGATGTTGGAGTAATCAATGAATAAAATCTGAGAATATGTAAAATAAAAAAAAAAACAATTATTATATAGTACCAATCCTTAAAGATAAGACTATTACGGGTCTTAAACCGATTAGATCAAATTTTCAAAGATCCAACAGTGAAATATTTTTAAACCATTACCAGAAAGTGTGAAATTACCACAAAGTATGAAAAGACTTATTATGTTGGATGTGCATGGAAGAGGAAATAGTAAATACAATTAAAACACCAGCCATAGGAAGCGTAGAAAAAAACCGAAGAAACTTTCAGTTCAAGCGTAGATCAGCTGTTATAAAAGTGTCAGGAGCAATCATAAATTTACAAAACGTAAGTTCAATTAAGAATGTAGATACAAGTTATTTAATGTGAAATGACACTTGAGTACTTGACTAAAGTAAGGAAAATAAGATATTATTTTTAAAGTCTGTAAACTATATGTAATTCTGATTTTAATCATACGTTTAACTCATATGATAGTTGGTATCCATAATGGTATCAACATATGTTACTTCTCCACATATCCATCTTAAATCCTTCTACTAACAATACGGCAGAAAACAAGATTTATAAAATGTTGAACAATGACGCATTAGGGCCCTAATGAACTGAGGCATTTTAGTCTGTTTACAATACCAAACAAAAATTCCAGAATACTTAGTATTTTTTTTTTTTTATAGGGCACTTCATTTTTTTTGCATCAGCACTGAATTTTTATATTTACACCATTAATGTTAAGTTTACAGAAATTATAGGAATATTAATAATAGGCATAGAAAAAATGGTATGTATATTATTATATAGATGACAATAATATTATTGTAGTTAATATTACGCCAATAGTAAAAAGTAGTGAGATAGAAACTAGTAGATAAAAAAAAAACCATTTTTAAAATTCTAATGTGGTCTACCACCAAAAAAAAATAGAAATTAAAAATTTAAGTTATTTTATGTGTATAATAATTTATTAAATAAAAACCGACATCTTGTTTCTTGTGTGATTGTCCTCCTCAGTCGAACAGGCAACGCATCAATGTGTGTACTATGTTGCAATTCAAAAAATAGTATTCTAGATATTTGAAAATTTTTACCACAACATATATTATTACTGTTTTATACACAGTCAAACTTTCAACATTTTGAGATTAATTTTAAGCTTATTATACCATGAATATTCAACATATTCACGCCATTCTACAGTAAGTCTGCATTGACATAAAAGTCAATAAAAGTTAGTAATTTATATTAAATAACATAATAATTATAGTTATATAGGTAATATGTGTGATTTGTTTTTGGTAAGTTAGTTCAATCTACTGTATTACTAATGAAAAAAGTAATTACTAATAGTGATATAAATATATATAGAATATCATTCTTTAAAAATATATGCTAACAGATTATCTCCCCTTTGAGTTTGTTTTTCTTATGCAATGATTTATCATTGTCATTCATCATTGAATCCAAATTTAATATAATATATATTGTAGTGATATATTCAATGACGAGGCCACATTCAACACCCACTATTCAGATTTTTTTTTTTTTTTTTCATTGTTTTAAATTATTCATAATTAATACGCCTGATTATAATACACTTTCAAATACAGAATTATTCTATTATATTTTAAGATTTGTAGTGGTTACTTATAATAAATATTAACCATTAAAATGTATATCAGAATTGTTAGTAAGAGTCTTTGCTAAGACAGAAAATTTTGGTATTAATACCATATGTACAGGTTGATTATTTTATCGATTATATTATTAATTAGTTTATTAATTTAAAATTATTTCATAAAATATTAATGTTTTTGATAAAAACATTTTTTATCTTGTTTCAGCAATGGTTATTAGCATACGTGACTATGTGAGTAAATATTTTTTATCCTTAGAAATAAGAAATTTTTAGGTTTTTACTTTTTTGAATGACAACATACAGTTTTCATTTAATCTTTGAAAGCAGAATATTTATCTGAGTATTTCGATACATAAAAATTGAATTTAGAATGAGTAGTTTATGAGTTTCAAGTATTAAAGTTTTGATGAGTGGAGTGGAATGCGGTTATATATCAAAATAATTAGAAAAATGTTCTGCCTTGGTATATGAAATTAAAACTGTATGTTGTCACTCAAAAAAGTGAATAACTTTTTAATGATAAAGAAAACAATTTTTTAAAATATATAGGTTTGTTTTTTAAAAATGTTATTTTTTCAACTAGAAACCATGTACATTTGTTTTTTATAAACATTAATACTTTTTGAAATAATGAGTGGTATTTATATTACATTTTTAAGGACCATATAATATTAAGTAAATTGCATACAATAAAGTAACGCCTAGTTGGAATTGATTTCTATTCCAAATTACTATTATTCAATTATATTGTATAATATATAAACTATAAAGTGCTAACATTTATTTGTTTGTATTATTATAGGACCTATAATAATATAGGTATATGTTATTATTGTAAAATTGTAATGTTGACAGTGTTGTGAATTTAAATAAATTGAAAAGTTGCAAACAAATTCTAGAGAAAATTAATGCCATAGTACAATATTCTAAAATAGTAGTTAATAACACTAAAGGCCGTTAGTTATTCATAGACCATAGTAGATGCTTCAGAATAAGTATTGCTTATTATTTTTTATATACTTATACTTTTTCTTATTTTGATGATTTAAAAAATAAAAATTTGTGATAACTAAAAGCAATGTTTAAGGTAGGTCTTGACCAACCTTAATTTAAGTAATACTTTTTCTTATCCTAAGCTAAAGTCTGATTTATGAATCTCATTTGAGTCATAAGTATTGTTTAAGCAATACTTATTCTTAAGCATCAACTATGAATACAGCCCTTAAGTTTTAGTTTAAGCAGTTTTATCTACATGCTCATCTGCAACAAAAACAATAAATAAACTATGAAATATACATTATAAACAGCCAACTCTTGTATTAATAAATTATTAAATAACAGCAAATCTTAACTATTATCAAGTTATATGACTATATTCCGGGGCCCACGAGAGACACTACTGTGTCCTGACCAAAATTCTTCCCATCCCGCATATCCTTCACTCAATGACAAAGGTTCGTTAATGTTTGGTACGTTCGGCAACACTCAAGGGTATAATTTATATATATACAACCAATACCGTCGCGGCACAGAGTGGGGGAAATTGTGCCTCAGACCGGTCACTGCCATGAGTCTACATGCGCGAAACGGTAATGTTTTCTCGTGAGCTGGAGTATAGTCATATAAGAGTAAGACAACACTAAGTATTAATATTTACAGCTATTTCAATACTATGGATTTTTTATATGAAGATAATTTTAATATATACATTTTTATTATATTTAAATTATTTGTATTTTACCATCTAATAGTGTGCACTGTGTTATATTAAATTGTTGCTCTACTTTATAATTTTATATTTGTAGAACATAAAAATTTACATTCAGTTCTAATGTTTAAATATGACATTTTAATTAATTTAATCGTACCTACCTATATAATTTTAATGAACTTAAGGAACAAACATTTTTTATCATTTAATTGAACATTTTTTAACCTTTGAGAATTTCATTCCTAAATACCTTATTTATGGTTAACAATATTAAGTATTTTGACAATAACAATGAAATTAAAATTAAATTGTTTCTTTATATTTTTTTCCAAGTGTATTAAAAATATACCTTTTAGGACTTATATATAGAAAAAGATATATATAGAAAAAAATATTTATAGAAAAAGATGAAATTTGGGGTATTCTTAAAATAGTTCAATACTTAAATATATAATAAAAAATAAAAATCATTTGTTCTTATAAAAAACTTATAAATTTGAATGCGATTTCACATTAATAGTAATTGTAATATAGCAAATCAAATGTGTATATAAAAAAAAAAGTAAATACCTACTAAAAGAGTATAACAATTTAACAGTCAGTTATAAATTTAAAAAATACAAAATAGTAAGAATCAAGATTTAAGTTTGTTAAATTCATTGCAGGTACAAATTATAAGATTAAGCTATAGAAGCTAAACAGTAATATAAAGCCAGGCATATGAGTAAAATGATGCATTTGAAGATTTAAAATTATTAAGTACAATAAAATAAGACTTTGTTTGGGTGCATCCTGTTTGCACACACACAGGACCAAAACATGACCCATTTACGCACAAATTAAAAAAAGGGTCATAACAAGTTGCCCATAATCTTACAACTTGTTTGCAAACAACTTTTTATAGTACAAATGACTTTTTTTAATAAGATAATATACCTACCTAGGTATACAACTATATAAGTAAAAATAATAATCATTAAGAATATTGTATGGTTTAATATATTAGGGACACCCAAGGATGGGATTGGGGAGAGTCTAAGCTATATAGAGACCTATCTACCACCATTAAAATATCATTATTAAAA